CCTCCTCCCTTTCGGAGGGAAACATCATTGCAGGCTCTGCTACCGTCCGGACAGGCCCTAGACCCCGGCTACTTGGACCGGTACCGGCCTACCTCTAGCCTAAAGCTACTGGCCTCTAAAAATGCCAACTTTTTGTCTTCTTCTGCTCGGCCTCCAGTACCCGACACTTCTACCACTACTTGAGTAGTACCGGCCTACCTGCTACTTGAGTGCTTTTCCCCTCTGCTCTAAGTGTCGTGGGCCTACCCCCGCTACTCGAGTGTTTTCCCCGCTGCAACCCTCAAAGTCACGGGCACAGGTAAGTACCTGCCCTGCGGGGCCTTTCAACCAACAAGTACCCTTGTGGGTCACACACACACTCAGTCGACAAGCACTCAGACAGGCACGCAAACCGGCAGGCACACACACACACAGACATGGAAATCACAGCAGAACGCAGGAATCTCAGCAAGGCATTCCCAGAGCGGCAAATCCCAGAAATCAGCAGTGTTCTCAGTCTGTGTTTTTGGCGGGTCATTACACTACCCCACTCTCAAGAGCGAGGTCCCTTCGGGCGAGTAACTCATTCAGAGTCGGCACAAAATGCATCGCAGGCGTAGATCAGAAAGAGAGATTTAGACACCCAAGAGCCTAGCTCAGTGGGCACACCCATGAACTGTTGAAATACAGACCTGTGTTCGAATCCAGATGATGGAACTTGATGAGTGAAAACCAACTACTAATGAATTGCCTGGGGCCGGTCAGCTCAATGATAATGTCTCAACGTCGTCGCCCTTTTAAAAAAAAGAAAAAACAAAGAGAGATATAGTAAGACCGTGACGAGTGAGTTTTGCAGAAAACATAGCAGTCTGTCCATCGGCGATCTGTCGTTCATCGGAGCATTCTTTAGAGAGATCCAGCAAAACTCGTTCATCGGGTGATAGAGGAAGTGTACCTTGTACTGTCTGTTCCTCCCTCTTCCTTCATGGGAAACGATTCTGTCTATCTCATGGCCGCCGTCGATAGGACGAGGTATCATAGGATCGAAAGGGAAAAGTCTCATCATCGATGTGTGGAAACAGTTTGGACGCGTGAAAGACCGGATATGTGTGCAGATGAGGAGGCACACCAATCACATACGAAGGACCAAATTCATCTCCAATCACCTTAAGAACCTGCCAAGGCTCATAGTGCAATGGAAGAAGCATTCGTGATACGCCCTCTTCGTCAGAAAACTCAGACATTTTGACCCAGACGTAACTCCCTACTTTGAAGTTCGCTTCTTTGCGCGAGTTGTTAGCGTGTTTGATCATGGCATGCTAACGCTTGTCCATTGCTGCGATAGCAGCTTTGAGCAGGCGTGCATACTTGGCATTGTAGCTAGGCATGCCAGGCGTCAGACCAGCGGACCGTTCGGGGAACAAATAGGAGAGAGGATTGCGCAACTCCCAACCATATTGCAGTTGATTCGGTGTCACGCCAGTTGTGGAGTGAATGGAGTTGTTGTACAACACTTTCACTTTGTGTAACTCCTTGTCCCACGTGTTCTGATCCGGAACAATTAACGCGCGCAGTAATTGGATGACAGTCTGGTTGATTTCCTTAGCCAATCCATTGGCTTCGAGGTGTCGACCAGAAGTCTTGTTGAGTTTAATGTCGTAGATCTGCGAAGTGAAGTCCTTCCAATCAGCATTGATGAACCTAGTGTCCCGATCACTCACAAGAGTTTTCGGGGGTCCATACTACAGAATGTACTGCTGGTGAAATTCTTCAATCACAAGCTCAGTTGGTGCATGAGGAGGTAGAGGAATCAGATTAAGAAATTTGGAAAAACGATCCACAATGACCATGACTTGTGAATGTTCTCCCTCGCTCACCTTCCCCATGTTCGTGGAATCGATCGAGACCGACTCACGGGGCCCATCAGGGATTGGGAGGGGTTTCAGCAGGCCATAAGGCTTATGCCTATGGATCTTGGTTCTTTGACAGACTTGACATTCAGCAAAACATTTCTGAGCAAATCCCTTCATTCCCGGGCAATCAAACTGCTGCAAAAGACTTCCATAAGTTTTCTCAAAGCCGAAGTGCCCACTCCGACCATGTGCCAAATCCAAGAAATGAGTTCGGAGAGGCGCATGGTTGGGTACACACAAACGATCAAAATTCCCACACCGGCGGAATACAAGACCCTCACACACATGACAACCAGGCTGACTACTAGGGTCAGCCTTGAGCTGCTCAAGGATGAGACTAAGGTCTGGATCCTTGGCAGTGTGTTCGACCAGATCCTCCTTCAGTTTCCTTCCGAGGTCATACGAGTCCACAAGGCAAGTCAAAAACTCAGGATGGTGCGACAAAGCATCAGCAACACGATTATAACAACCTTTCTTGTGTTTCAGTTCAAAGTTGTAAACATTAATGTCATGCAGTCAGCGGGTCAGCGTCGGAGAGAGATCAATTTATGTTTTAATCCACTGCAAGGTCTAATGATCAAAGTAAGTGACGACCCAAGAGGTAGTGCTTCCAATGTGTGAGCGCTTCGCGCAAGGCATAGAGCTCACGCATATACGTGGAAGTAGCTACCTTGTGGCTGGGCATGCGTTTGCTGTAATATTCGAGCGGACGCAGGCCATCGCCATCATCTTATTGCAGCACTGTACCAATCCCATACTAGCTCGCGTCCGTAGTGACCACGAACGTGAGGATGGGATCCGCAATGCGGAGCATAGGATGACTTACCAAAGCCTCTTTCAAGGCTTCGAAAGCAGTCTCACATTTCTCACACCTCGCATAGGCAACATTCTTGCTTGTTAGTCTCCAGAGTGGGTGAGCAATGACAAAAAAATTGGGCACAAACTTCCGGTAATACGAGGCTAAACCAAGGAAAGAACGCAGTTCGCGTACGTTTGCTGGTTGAGGCCACTTTCGTATGACCTCAACCTTGGTTGCCTCCGGCTCAAGGCCGTTCGCAGACAACCGGTGCCCAAGATAGATGACATTGTCCCTTCCAAACTCATATTTCTCTAAGTTGAGGTGCAGTTGTGCCTCGTTGACGACCTGCAAAACCTCATCAAGGTGCTTGACGTGCTCTTCCATGGACTTGCTGAAAATCGGGATGTCATCGAGGTAAACAACAACAAACCTGTTAAGCTGATGGCGAAGGCCCTTGTCCATGAGGCACTGAAACGTGGTTGGTGCATTCGTAAGACCGAAGGGCATAACGATGAATTCGTACAGCCCATCGCGTGTTTTGAATGCAGTTTTGTGCTGGTCACTCTGATCAACTTCAATCTGGTGGTAGCCAGACTTGAGGTCGATCTTGGAGAACACCTTGCACCCACCTGCAACATCTAGCAGATCATCTATGCGCGCCAGGGGATAAGCGTTATTTCGGGTGATACGGTTTAGGTCACGATAGTCAATACACATCCGGAGTTTGCCTCCTTTCTTCGGCACAAACAGGACAGTTATCAATTGGCCTAATCCATCCACGATCAATCATGTTATCAATTTGTCTCCTCAACTCCTCCAACTCGCCTTGTCCCATAAGGTAGACAAAGCCCTTTGGAGGAACACTCCCTTCTATTATCTCGATCTTGTGTTTGACCGAACGCTCAGGAACTCCACGAGGTTTGGCCAAAACTTCAGAAAATCGATCTAATAGACGGCGAATGTTTGATGGGACTTCCGGTGGAGAATAGTCCTCATAAGGAGAGAGAAAATCAGATTGAGAATTTACAGCAATTACAATTGAACTCGAAGTACTTGGATCAGAAGTAGACTGGTTTTTTACAGTAGAAGTAGATGGAATAGAAGTAGAGGTAGTAGAAGTAGAATTACTTTCCGAGGTAGAAAATGCAGCAAAAGCAGAGGACACATGGAGAGGCTTTACAAAAGCTACATGCACATGCTCAGCTTCCTTGCGCCTGTGCACTGATTTGCAGAATTTGCTTGCACTTAAGAGAGTAACAGGGGACTTGCGCGTCTCGTCCAATAGAATGGTACGCTCGTTCCCCTTGGCATCACGCACCACGAACTGAGTATCCGCCCACGTGGTCCTTAGATAACGAGCCTTTAACCAGCCCAAGCCAATGACCGCGTCGAAAGGACACGTGTCCATCACATAAAAGTTCAGCTCATGTGTGACAGTGCGATCCTTGTCAAAAGTAACGTGCACACCTTTGACAACAAATGTTGAGGTGACAACCTCTTGGTTGCCTACCTGGGTCTGACAAGGGTTCTGCAATTCCACTTGCTTCATTCTCAAGCCCGCCTTACGAATCCCGTTAGGAGAAAAGAAGTTAATCGTTGAGCCATTATCAATCAGCACACGGATATATCGGCGGTTAATGAGCAGCTTAAAGAAGATCAATTTCACACTCCCTTGAACACGGCGTTGCTGCTTGAGCTGCAGCCAATGTTCGAGGTGAGAGTGGAAGTAGACTTCCTTAGTCTCCTCCCAAGGCTCAGTGTACTCGGTGTACAGTACTTGAACTGCAGCAGCCTTGGATTCAGCATCGGTGTTGTTGATCAGATTCAGGCTCCTTGGAAGGGCCTGCAACTGACTGTTCAGCTTCCCTTGTTGTAGAGAGTGTTGATGACTCTTCTACGCCCGTTGCCTGTTTCCCTACAGACGATAACAATCCTGCACAGCGTGCCCAGGCTTTTGACAAGGCAACCACACGCGCAATTTGGATCTTCTCTCCCATTCCTTTTGACTGATGCAGAGGGTTTCCCAAGGCTTGGTAGAAGCATCCTCCGGTTTCTTAGGGATCTTTGCATTCTTGGGGAGGTGTGTTATAGTTCCCTTACCCGAACCACGGTTAGCCCCCTTGCTTGAAGCAGTCTTTTTAAAGGCATTGCATTTTTCCTCAGTATTCATGTCAGACTCAAGGGTTGATGTAGAACAGCCCACGTCGGAGTCTGGCTCTAGATCGTCATCTAGAGACAGATCATCCGCATAGGACTAATCCTCAGCCTCCCGATGTTCATGCAGGGCAAGCTCATTGCTGCTTTTGTACTTCTTGCGTTGAGAGGTTCTACCTACAGGGGGTGCCTTTGCACGCCTGGCGAGGTCCTTGGCTTCTAGATTGACTAGATCCGTCAGTAGCTCTTGCCAAGTCGTATGGTCTTTGAGTCCTAGCCGGGAGGCATATTCTTTAGGGGCCACTCCCATAACTACATCCATGCAAGACACGTCAGTCCATCCCACGTTTGGAGTGGTGAACAGACCAGTCAAATATTGTTCCAAAACCTGCATGGAAGTCCTCCACGTTTGGCCCTTGAGGGCCTCAAGCTTCAGCCTTGCCTTGAGCGCAACATGCTTATCTTGATATTGCGCGATGAGGAGGTCCTCAAGAGTACGTACAGGAGTCACTTTCAACCACTCAATCAGGTCAATTCTCTCATAACCTGCAGTAACAGCTTGAAGTTCTATGAAACTCCGTACACCGGGCTCGATATTTGTGCCCATGATCATGCTTCGGTCTTCCTGCAGTGTTCGCAGTACCTCGAAGTATGAGCGCATGGAGCTAATCCGAGAGGTGATGTCCCCCTTCCCGTCGTACTCGGACGGCAGAGTGGCCGCCCTCTTGTCCACTACGGGACCGCTTTATTGTACGCCGGTAAGAACTGCTGCGTTTTGGGTTGATGTTCCTGCATTTGGAACTAGGACCAGTGCAGAACTGTCGACGCTGCCGCTTGAGGAGCTTGCACCGGTTCCTGCGCTTGTCACAGTTCCACTTCCTCTCGTCATGAGGACTGTGTTAGGGTGAGAGACTGGGACTGCAGCAGGTCGAGGTTTAGGAGGACGGGGGGCAGACAGTTGGGACTGTTCGAGGCTGACTATCTCAACCTGCAGCTCTTGGTTCCGCTGCTCCAGAGCTGTCACACGGGACTCGATATCTTCCACGGTCCGCAGTCGAACCAAGGCTGTTACGGCAACAGCTAGCTTCTCTTGGAATCGGTCATCATTCGATTCCGGAACCTCAAGGAGGGCCACCTGTTCAGCAATACTTGTGGCTCTTGTTGCTGCCTCTCCCTCCCTCTCTCTGTGTCTTGCGTCCTCATAAAGTTTCTGAAAGGAAGGTTTCTCGTTCTCGGCCGCTGCATCCAGCATGGCCTTCCATTGCTCGAACGTGATGTCTACCATGTCGGAGGATAGGGTGTCCGTAGATCTCTAAAGAGGGATCCGCACTTTGCTCACTTTTGGACAAACACTCCTCTTACCCTTCCTCACACTCTCGAAAAGAACACCACCTCTCTCCCTTCTCTCTCTTTCCTCTTTCTGCGCACACGTCTCAATACCGGACATAGATAGTTCAAATAAAAGACGAAAAACAATAGTAAATCACAAAGAATAGAAGGTAGAACTCCTAGCCGGAGCGGCAATTCATTTGGACTTAGAGAATGGCATTCACGCAGCAAAATAAAAATAAATAATTGAAAAAAAAAAACGAAAGAGAGGACTAACTTATCGAACGGGCCCGATCAGATTAGCTGGAGATCCCCTCTTGTCTAACCTGACAAGGTATATGTACCACAATAAATCAGTCGAAGAGAACTAACTGCAACAATGGAGATTTCGAGGGGTGCAGACGATCGTCGAGCCAGACGCGGGGCAGTATGTGAGAACGTGCAGTAAGACCAATCAAGATCCCCTTGAAAGGAATGCCTTTACCAGTCGTATGTCCCCCAAATTCAGCACAGCAAAGAGATGCATTGAAGGCAACAGATTTGGGCCCTAAAGGTCCTGTCCAACGGGGCCTGGTCCCACTGAGTCCCAAAGGTCCCAAGTAGGTCGTGGACCAGGACCAACGAGATAGGTGTACCAAGTCAGTCCCAAACTGCCTCTACCGTACTGAAAAGGAAAAGACAACTTTCAGCAAGGACTCACCCCTACAGCCGTTCAGAAATGAAAAGACAATGCACCCTAGAAAGATATGTCATTGAGAACAAGATACATCATCCATCCATCCATCAGGTGAGAAAGCAATCCACATGCTCATACACACAGCCAAGACCGCAGAGAAGAGGAAGAGAGCCCAGCACACCCCAACAGGCCATGAAGCACCAAGCAACCTCCCATGTGCATCACCAGGTCACACGACACTTACCTGTGAGGCCCGGCCTCCAAAGATGGATTGCGACTCACCCCCCTCTCTCATAGGTCCTCCTGACCCCTAGCTACCACTACACGAAGTGTCCTAGCATGACTAAGAGAACCTCCCTACACCCCTGTTACAACGCCGGATCCCTCGTCGATGTCTGAAGACCAAAGTAGCAACTTGCAGCTCTTCGATGCATATATGGCAGCCTCCGATCAAGTCACCCTCTTGAGGGGAAGCCCAAAAGTCACTCAATGTCTTCTTGAAGTGCAGATTTCAGGTGCGAGTACATTTACTCTCTACTCCCTCTCGCTTACTCCAATCAGCCTGCTTTGTGTCTCGCCACCCCATCCAATCACTCAAGCAACCTGGTCTAGTCTGATGTCGACCCTACATGACCTAACCAGGTGGAGGCAGTATCCACATACCTCACTGCCCCTCTTAACCCTAGCTTCCCACCCCTAACCCGATATTAGGTTAGCCCTAACCTAATTCGAAATTAGGTTTAGGGTGACTAACACCTCTCGCCAGCAAGTAAGTCCGCTCCGATACCAATTGTTACGATCCTGGTCATGCACAAAGTGCAAAGACAATGCCACCCGATTGCAAAAGAAATGAAAACAGTTGCAAAGAGATAGAGACCAGAGAAGAGAGAAAGAAGAAGAAGAAGACGAAGAAGAAGAAGAATGCCACCCATGCTACACCACAGTCGCCACCTGTCTCGACAGCGGGACAACAATATCCTTGGTATCCCAAGACCCCCTTGAAACCACCTCCAACCTTCTCACGAGACAAGAAGGATGAGGCTCTCGACACGTGGTTGAGAACGGTGCCAATGTGGGTGAGGGCAAAGAGGACATTGGTTGAGGAGGACATGAGTACTGCTGCATCCTATTTAGAGGGTTCAGCAGCTCGCTGGCTAAATGGATTGGTAGCTTCAAAGGGGTTCGGCAGGAACATGGGTGATTGGGCGCAGACCCACACCTTAGAAAGCTTTATGGATTTAGTGGAAGCACGGTGGCACAATCCTCAGCAAGCACAAATTGCCACTGATGGATTATTAAAGCTTGATGTTAGGAAGTACAAGCCAGTGCAAGAGCTTACCACGACCGTAGAGCGTCTGATCGTTGTCCCAGGAGTGGAGTACAATCCACAGGTCTTGTTGACCACGTTCTTGAGATGTCTTACCACAGGTTCAAGTCCGATAGTGAGCATACTCGCTTGGTGAAAATGGTAAACACGACAGACTAAAACACTTCATCGGTTCGAGCGAGACATCAAGAACTTATTAGCCAGCGAGGCTCGCAGAGAGTATCACACGTTTGAGACATTCAGCAAGAAGGCCCTAGACTTAGAGGCTACACTAGGTAGTGCTCAAACCCCTTCTAAGGAACGGGAGAAAGAGGAAGACTCCACAAGAGTGGAAGAAGGGTACTCGGTTGATGATGGTTGATTCCGAAGGGAATCAAACTGAAATCGATGATGTTTCTGAACTTGTGAAGGGTGCAGAGTCAGACGGTGAGGAGAGTGCTGAGGGTAGCAACCTCGCCGCAGCAGTTAAGACTAAGGCAGCAGGTCGTGGCAAGGGCGGTCAACAAAGGAGTCAAGGGCCGGCCGCCAACCCAAACAAAATAGCAGCTGGTGTCCACCATAGCCAGGTAGGTGCCTCGCCACTCTCCTCCTTCGCACCCTTCTTCCTCCTCCTCAGGTTGCGCTGCTCGCCATAGTCAGGTTGAGCGCCCAGCTGCCCATCACCTCCAGGCAGCGCTGTCCTAGTCCAGCGTTGTGCTCCAGCAGCATGGCGCCTGGTACATGAAGAGAGGTCGGCGATGGCGTTGGCAGTCATGTACATTGGTCTTCGTGACTCGAAGTGATCTTGTTGCGTGAACTACCCGTAGTTAGGATAGTCTGGTAGAGTAGGTTGGGCGCTGAGCGCCAGACACAGCAAAGCGACTTTGGATACTGTGTTGGTGTGGCCTACGAGCTTGAACATTGGCTCATTACTTCACTGTATTGCTCTATATGGATGGTTTTCTCGGTGCATTTGTACTCTCTGCTTGGGACACTACTACTTGGTCAGCTGTGTGATTTCGCAACTTGGTTTTATGTATATCGCTCACACTCATATTCCTTGCAATTTGGTATCAGAGCTGGTTGGTGATCGCCGCTTACCTGGCACCGACGACATTTTGACTTGGTGCGCTGACGATGCTTCATGTGTAGTAAGGATACTTTGGCGCTGGTTAATTAGCGGGGCCTAGGTGGACAGGCCAGCCACTTGAAGGCTGTGGCGACAGCAGGTGTATGTATGATGATGAGAGTATTATGATGTGGCATTTTAGCTGAGCTGGCACTGCATTGCGTTGTGAGTGGTACCAAGGCTAATGACCGGTCATCGAAATGCACATCGGCCCAATTGGTGAGAAATCTGTGGTTGGGGGCAGCTATCTCCAGGTACGTTGTTCCCATTCCTTATCTACCCTCTCAATCTCTTCTTACCGTGAGGAAGTGAGTCCAACTTGAGTGTCCTCTCTTTGGTGAGGAGTCGTGTGCGCTCTATCTTGAGAGACGACATTCTTCCCTGTGGCGCATCTGGCAAGCGAGGGCGGTGCCTCTGAAGGGCCCTGGTCAAAGCACGGGTCATGGTCACCATGCCAACCCATGGTATAGTACACGCAGGCCATGATGCTTTGTCCATCGAGGCTCTTTGGTACGCTGATAGAAGAGTTGTGTGGACTGACCAGTCCTACCTAAACGCTCCCATACCGTCTATAAACATTTCTGGTTGGGGTCTGAACTGTCCACAGGCTGTGATCGTCGTCCTGATTGCGACATTAAGAAATTCCTGAGGACTCTCGAGGGCTGTCCTTAAATTGTCTCTTGATCAGCCAGATCAGTCAGACGTAAGGCTCGTTGCACGCGAGCGTAAATAAAGGGCAGGCTGGTCAAAAGCATACTTCTTGGGCACAGAGGTGGGCCGCGGTTGCACACCTTAGACACCGCAGTTTGATGATGCTCACACGTACGTTGGATACAGGGGATGGGGTTTCCAATTGTGAACTCATCTGAACATCACTACCATTTCCATTGTGCATACATCTGCTCACATTAGTCTAAGTTTTCTTTTTGATTAGTTGGTTGACCGACTGCTGACACCTAACAGACAGACTAGAGTAGGACTGTAATCTACCATAGTCAGTTCTTCTCGAATCTTCTGTGTAGAACTAATCAGGATAAAGCTTGACAATGTGTACAGTTTGTGTAGGTTCTGTTGATGCCGCTTGAACAGTAGTTTACGTAACTCGCCGGACATTTATTTATTTATTTATTTTTAAATCCGGTCAGACGCATGTGCAAGGAACATGAATATGGACGAAGCACAGAAATCCAGAATGCAAAATCACACTGAAGTCCAAGTAGTCCAAGCCAAAGCAAATAGCACAATGGAACCGAGTAACCATCCAATTGAGAATGATA